CTGGGATGCCCTGTGGCCATACCTGCTGCCCTGTGTTTGGAGGGGGTGAGCTCCAGTAGCCCCCACCCTCCCTGCCCTTCTGCCACCTATGCTTGCCACAACCCTATACCATGTAAAATATGGCCTGGTGATCTATGTGAGAGATGAGATTACTGACTATAATCACAATCCTAAACACGGAACACACAGGCACTGCTACAACAGCTATTAAGATTGGCGAGCTGAGAGTTATCAGCATCTACAAACTCCCCAAAGAAGAATGGCCGAATCCAACTCTCCCATCCCCCCAACATCTAACTATATGTGGGAGACTTTAACAGTCACCATAATGAATGGGGCTATGATATAAATGACAACAATGGGGAGGCTCTGATAGATTGGATGTCAGCTTAGGATGTTCACCTTGTGCATGATGCCGAAAATCATGCAACTTTTCGATCAGCAAGATGGGAAGGGAATACAACCCTGACCTACTCGTCTCATCAGATAGCAAAGGTGTCCCTATACACTTGTCCCAAACCAATCACTCAGACTTCCCATACAGCCAACATATGCCAACTATCAGCCACATAGGGGTTGAAATGCCTGTCATGCCAACAAAACAAGTGTCAAGATGGAACATCCATAAGGCAGACTGGTCTGGATTTACTGCCAACGTGGAGAAAACCATCCACCACATCCCCCTGGTGCCAAAACAGTACAGTCGTTTCATGGCCTTGCTTCTTGCTGCAGCTAAGAAGAACATCCCTCGAGGTTTCAGAGAGCGATACATCCCTTGTAGGATCCGTGACTGCAAAGTACTTTTCCAACAATATCAATAATCTGGAGACCAAGCAACACCTACACGTCTACTTGAATCTTTGGATACCTGTAGACAACAAAGCTGGCTGGACTGCATGGAATCCATAGACCTTACATGCACAAGCCATCGGGCATGAAGCCTCCTGAGGAAATTTGGAGCATCAAACCCAGCAGAGGCCACTGACCTGTGAGTCAGTGCAAATACTCTTGCTGCCAACTTGGAGGGCAACTCAAAGGGATCCCTTGATAAAACAACACAAACGAAAGTTAAGAAAAAGCTCAGAGAGATAATGACAAATTGTCCCCAGTCCTCTCAACTGTCAGATCATTTCACTCTTGTGGAACTGGATGTTGGCCTAACATCCACAAAAAGTGGCAAAGCTGGTGGGAAAGATGGCATTCCACCAGAATTCCTCCACCATCTTGGCCCATTGGCAAAACAATGGCTTCTGGCTCTCTTTTCAACCATAATGGATAACGGCCATATTCCGCAAATCTGGCATAAGGCAATGGTGATAGCCCTGCCAAAACCAGGAAAGCCAGTACATGACCCTGGGAGCTACAGTTCTTTACTGTGCACAACTTATAAGCTCCTGGAGAGGCTCATCCTTCTAAGAATTAGCCCTATCATCAACCTATTACTCTCCCAAGAACAGGCTGACTTTAGACCCCATCATAGCTTCTGCGAACAAAAGTCCTTGCCATCACTACAAACATTAAGGCTGATTTTCACTGCAAGCTCAAGACCAGGACCACCTTCATAGATCTTTCCTTGAGCTATGATACTGTGTGGAAACACAAACTGATGCTCAAACTGTCCCTGCTGCTCCCATGTGCCAAATTATTTCAGCTGCTGTGGACTTTGATGAGCAACAGAAGGATGAAGGTCTACCTACAAGATAAGGTCAGCACTCCAAGAATACTCAACAACAGCCTCCCACAGGGTAGTGGCACCAACAGTTTTTAACATCTACATAAGTGATATGCCCTACGCATCATCATGGAAATTTATCTACACTGATGATATTGCTTTGACCACACAAGCAAAAATCTTTTCAGGATATTGAAGTCACATTGAACTCTGACTTATGAAAGAATTCAGCCATTACTGATAAGTGGAGATTACAACCAAATCCAACCAAGTCCATCATGTCCACATTCCATCTTGACAATTGCAAGGCACAGAGCACCCTCAACGTCACCTTTTGTGCAGAAAAAGTGTGTCACGACCCAACTCCTATCTACCTTGGGGTGACTCTCGACTGCTCCCTAACCTACCACTATCATCTCCAAAAGACTGCCGTAAAAACAAAGGCATGAGTGAACATAATCTGAAATCTCACCAGCAAAAACTGCGGTGCAAAACCTACCATCTTCAGCTCTTCTGCCATAGGCCTGGTCTTCTCAACAGCTGAGTACTATGCACCTGTCTGGGCCTCAAGCCAACATACCAAACTCATTGACACACAACTCTACTCAGTAATGAGGACTATCTCTGGAACTCTGATATCAGCTCCAGTGTAGTGGCTACCAGTACTTTCAAACATTACTCCTCCCTCTGCTTGACAGGATGCAGCAACATGCAGAGAAATAGTGCATACCAATAGTAATCCAGACCTTCCTATCCACAGAGATCTTCAACATCTCCCAACTCGTCACATGATTTCATGAAAACCTTTCTGGCCATAAACCAAGCATTTCCTGTATCACAACAGTGAAGAATCTTGGAGTAAAGCCTGAGCAGAAAACACTTTCCCAAATAAACACCTTGTTTCTGACCCAACAGTGCAACAACTGGGTTTCAACCTTCCACAGAGCATGTGGACAACCCTCAATAGGATATGCATTGGACATGGCTAGTGTGGCCACCTGAAGTACAAGTGGCACCTAAAAACCTCTCCTGTCTGCAACTATGGAAACTTGAACCAAACCTTAGAGCACATAACAACACCCTGCCCCAAATACAAGTTTGAAGGTAACATCCTGGAGTTACACTTGCTTTCCAATAGGGCACTGGTCTGGTTGGGGAATTTGGAATTAAAACTGTGATGATAGCTCTTGCTCCTAAAGTCTTATGATAGGAAGGAAGGACAGGTCCAGTCAGCATAGTAGGTGGTCCCAGCATACCAGTAGCCTAATGTCAAATTTTTGTAGGCGTGACAGGGAAGGGGAATTAAAGGAGAGGCTTGAAGGGAGGTAATGAAGTATCTTTGCAAATATTTTACAGGAAGCCTCTCCCAAATATGAGGGGTAGCACAGGGGATAAGATAAAGCCCACAGTCTCTTACACAAGAGGATCTTAAACATCTTGCTAGCAGTGTTTTTTGTTAAAGCAGGCATAATGTCTGGTAAGGCTAGCTTTCAATATCTCAGGTAAGTCTAGCTTTCCTATACACTGCAGTCTCAATGTGGCAAAATGATGTGGTTTCAGCACTGAGCAATAGGCCCTAACATGCAATTTCTCAATCTCTGTTGGATTATTAAGTCTTTCCTTTCCTATTATCATTTATAACATACAGCATTTGTCCAATTCATTTTCAAGATGCCCGATCTTTTCCTGCCTCCTAGCCCTTTACACACACACACACACACACACTACACTTCATCTTCAAACCAAAAAAAGAAAGAAGGAAAAAAAAAAAGAAAGAAAAAGATTCATTCACAAAGTTCCCTGGCAGGCCAGGAATCAAACCAAAAATTCTCCAGTGAAATCTGATACAATTAGTCAAAGCAGGAAGCAAGTGGGTCACTTCAGATAAGTGGCACCCTGGAGGGAGCAGCCTTGGATTGTTAAACTGACACACGTATTGAAGTAACAGCCAGTCCTGGCAGGCTTCTCCCTGGTACAGCACTGCACACTCTCATTGCTAGCAGTGGATTTTACTAAAGGCACAGTTGACATAGAGCTATAACAGCAGAGCTGTAATTATGCATCCAGTCCCCAGAAATAAAACAGGATCCGATGCATCTGGTGGTAGTGAAAGTGAACTTTTGCTAGCAAGACCGTTACATAAGTGACTATGGTATAAAACAAAAGAGGGTTTCAGACTGCGTCTCTACAGAGATGAGCTACTGCTGTTCCTCATTAATGCTGTGATTTTCTTATGCCCACAAGATACTCCACTTTCACTTGTCTCCCTCAATTGGACTTTGTTCATCACTACCAGTAGAATAGGGTCACTGCATGAACTCTTAGGCATGCATTAAGGGAGACGACTGCAGGAAAAATCATTTAATGTTAAAAAATCTTACTTTAAAAACTCTGGACTGGGTAGAGAGACTAGTGATTATATACTTCCTTGCCATCTTGCAGCCAGAAGTGTGTATTGAATAACAAGCCATATGGTCAATAGCTAGATTTTTGCTTCATCTCACTTTGAGATGAATTACATTCATTGCTCTCTCTTCAGTCACGCCCTCTGCAGAGTAATTTAGAAGGGAAATTATACAGCTAGAATTTTCAAACAAACATCACAGGCAGGCCATTTGGCTTGATGGAAATATGTTGAATGTATGTGGAAGGTACCTGGAAGAACTGTGCCCAGGTGAAGAAAAGAAAGTCTACTGTTCAAAGAACATAATAATTGTAAAACAATTTTTGCAGGTTTTGGTTTTTCTGCACACATAATTAGATGCACAATTATGCCTGCGATCAGACCTCTACCATACATAAAGCCTTTTCTGTGATGTTGAGGTTATTCATCATTTCAGATGACAATGCTTTGTTTTCTGTATACTGGATCTTAATGTTCATAAGCTCTCTACTTCATCGCATAGAAATCAGCCATTTTGCCCTCAGAGCTACTGCAGCCTGTTACAGAGGAAACAAGCCTTGCTTTCTCATTGAGTATTTACTTTTGTCCACATTTTTTTCAACACAGAATAAGTCATAACTCATCCAACTTGTTCTTTCTTTCAACTGTAAATCATGAAGACAAACAAGAATTAGAATTCTGTAGACACCCAGATAAATATCAATCTCTCTATAGGGGCACGGTTGTCACTAGTAGTTTCCTCCCAGGCTCATGAACACATTTTATTGTTTATAGTGCAACACCTACTATTTCCAGCAAACAGAAAGTCCAATGCCAGGAGAAGATCAGATCATGTGATATTTTAGCCCCATTAAATAGCCTCCTTAACCTTTAAGTCTGACTGCCCCTCAAAAATGACAAGCCATATCAGCTCAGGAAACTTACCAGGCTCCAGAACAGAGTCCTCAAGAACAGAGAACTGTTATAGGCAGCCTGCTTCTTTGCCCAGAAGCAGTATAGTTACATCCCAGTTGGATTAATTAACACAGGGACTGCCACTTAGCAGTGCTGATTGGTCTGCCCAAAGTGCTACACAGATGTGGTTACACTGCTTCCAGGTAGTAGGCAGCCCACATGGAGTAGCACAAAGTGCTTGAGCATGGTGCTCTGAAGCACAGTAAATTTCCTGTACAGACGTAGGGCCTTGTTGCATGGGACACTTTGCATGTTTTTTCTTGGATCATAGTAAGAGTTTCCATGCTGCATTAAGGCTAAGTACAGACAGTTGACATGCCCAAGGCTGAATCAATTCAATCTTTGCAGATTAATCTAAACTGCAGAAATTAATCTGAGAAACAATTAGATATGCATTTACTTTTCATTCAGGAAATGCAGCCACATGCCTGTAGTGGCCCAGGCCAGCAGCCAGGGCACTAGAGCATACCTCTCTGGCACTGAGCCAGCATGAGCTGTGGGTTTGCTTCTGCTTCCTGGTGCCTCTGAGGTCTCTGGGATTTGCAGTCCAGAAGCATAGCAGCAGGACTCTCCAGGGTTTCTCATTACTTGCTCTTCCTGCTTCCAGGTGCCTCTGGGATTTGTAGTGCACAGTTGTAACGAGCACTAAATTTCAGTAAGTTTAGCAGCAGGGCAGCTCTGTACTTGGGGGGAAGGTGGGTTTAACTCCCCTTCCTGGCCCCAGACCACAGCTGGGGTTTGCCTGGGTGGGGACAGTCCCTAGAGCAGACAGCACAGCCCAACCCAGGGCTGGAAAGCATGCTGGGTGGCTGTGATTTAACTTGAACCAGGAAGGGGTCTGGTACAGAAGTTTCATAAATCAGTTTGACCCAAATCAGTTAAGTCTGATTCTACATTCAACCAGGTTTATCTTAAACCAATTTCAACCATTTTGAAACTGGTTTATGTGCACTTATGTGCACTTTTCTGTTACAAATTTAAACTAGTTTCTGATCACTTAACCGGTTTATATGTAACTTCTGTCCCTAGCCTAACAGTTAGAACATGTCCTGAGCAGTCACATGGGGATGCTTACTATGATCTCAGCCTGCTCTGGAGCCAGCTGTGCTTCATCTGCCTTTCCTCCCCTCAGACACTGACCCCCGCACCAGGTGCTGCAGCTTGCATATCTGCCTCTGCAGAGGTGCAACTCCCATGCCTGAAGCTTCCACCCTCCCAACCGTATGCCAAGCACTGTCCAGCCTAGGGTCACCTGCCCCGCGGCAAGCCAGGTCTCTGTAGCTAGCAGTGGGCAGAGGGAGGGATGGGGAGCTAAGTCTGAAAGAGGGTGCCACTCATCCTTCTGGACTGGCGGAGCAAGCCAGGTCTTTGTCATGGGCAGTCTTGAACCAACTCGGATGTGATGCTGAGGCTGGTCTGAGGCTCCTTGTCCCCCGCTCTGCTGCACTGGCATCTTGAACACATATTATCTCTGTGGAGCAGCACACTATGTAATGCTGTCTGGAGATACCCCTCCCATGAAAAGTCATAACTTTGGTATGATACAATCACGCTTAGCATGTGTTTTGTTGCTTGAATGTGTGAACACTCACATTTTAAGTGCAGTTAATACATCATAAGTGTAATATGTGACATGACCTATAGCCATGAGCACAAGCACCGGAGCCTACAAACATGCCTAACTAACCCTCCAGCCTTGGCTTTGTTATGGTCATGCAGGATGTGCTCTTTGAATGGAGACATTTTTCAAGAAGAAAAAATGTGAGACCTAAATCCATAGGCATAGAAATGCTTATTAGGCATCTGTGATATACCAGCAACCTTTTTATTGCCTCCAAAGCATGATAACTTGCTTGCCCTCAAATACCACATACTGTGTCTAATAAAGTTGATGTGGGTTGATTGATTATACGACTCGCACTCATACAGCCGCATGCAGCATGTAATGTGAGATATTTAAATGTATCTTTTCATTTTAAAGAAATTAAATGAGCATGAGCATTGTGCCTAGGCATGATGTATTATCCTGAGACCTAGTCAGTCATTTAGCAGATGAGGACTCAGGGCTATGTTCTGTTTCATGCACTAGGCATTTAAAGTGTAGCTGCAGGCAAGGTCCTGAGGTACAGGGCGAGAACCAGGACTGCTTCACCTATGAAGGCTCTCAGTGCCCCTCTACTTTCAGTAGGTGCACAGCTCATCCTGTCCAGGAGGTGAATCTTATATTTCCCTGCAGGGGCTCACAGTTCTCCCATTTACTTCAGTGGGCAACATTTCAGTACCTCTGGAGATGGATCCTCCATTACGCAGGTGGTACCTTGCCCTTCATTCACTCCACTAGAGTATTCTGACTTGTGCTAAGACATGTCTAGCTGATTAAATTCCTATGTCTTTCTGGCACCATAATAGGGTGACCACCTTTTCAAAATCCAAAGGTGGGACACATGCCAGCCCTATCCTCCCCCATCCCCCATGGGCGGCACGGCCAGAGCAGAGTCGAGTGGAGCCTGTGTGGGGCAGGGGAGGATGTGAGCTGCCCGCTGGGAGGCTTGGGGCTCCCCATCCTGCTGCCTTCCCTCCAGGGGCCTCTGCAGCCCAGTGGGTAGGTCCCAGTGCAAGATGGCAGGGATGAGCCAGATGAGCTGCCTGTGGCTCTGTCCCACTCCCTGGCTGGGCCTCGCAGCCCACGCATTCCCACCTGGGCACCACCCTGGCTGAGCAGTGCCCCCAGCCCCAGCTACCAACCCTGCCCCACTCCCTCCCTCACCATGGGGGCTTCAGTCTGCCCCCCTATGCCCCCCTCATAGACTTACCTGCAGGCAGCTGGGGGAACTGCTCTCCACTGCTGCCTGGCTGTAATGCTGGCTATGTGCATGTGTGCGCACATACACATGCATGTAGTGCCCCCTGTCTCCTGCTCCCCCCCAGCCCCAAGCCTGCAAGGGAAAATGTGTAGCTTCCCATGTTTTTCTCCTTTAAAGGAGATCATCTGCATTTTTCCGTGGCAAATGGAAAACCCAGATCCCTGGCATAATACTGAGATGATAGTTGAGTATGTCGAGGGGAATCTGGGACAAATGCTATCCTGGAGTCATTCAGCCCAGGACTGGGACTTGATGTCTACATTTTGGGACTGTCCCAGTTGATTAGGGATGGGTGGTTCCCCCCACACAATAAGGCACACAGATTTTAGCAAGGTGTTTTTTGTCCTGGCAGCTGGATGTCTATGCAGGTAACATAAGGCTTGTCCTCCATAAACAACCTAGTGATTAGTGCACCTGCCCAGAGATGTGAACTCTTAAACCCTCCCCTGAGCCTCAGAGGACTTGAATGCATACTGTCCTATGTGCCAGGACAGTGACCTAGCCCCAAGCCATGGGGCAAACATGGCTGCGAATACTTTTCATCCCCCCTTGTGTCGCACCTTGTTCACTGGGCACCCCAAAGGGAAACAGTCCTGGAGCCAAAAGAAGTGCAGGCCAGAGAACCTGACTTTGTGGAGTGGGCCTGGCTAAGCCCACGGAGAGAGTCATGGGTTTGGATTCCTACTCCCAATACTGCATTTTACCCAATGTTTTTCAGTGCTCAATGCATTATTCACACCAATATATATTTGGAGTTTTGCTGTTGTAAGGAAGAGAACCATCCTGGATTACATTTTAGAAACAAGGGCAGGATCTGGCCCAAGGGAGATGCATCAGCACAAGTTTCAGTGCACAGAGGAAACTGAAAACATTTTCACTAATCATTAGCATGCCCACTCCACCCTCCTCTGTAAACTGCATGTGCAGCAGGACGTACCACAAAAGAAATATGATTTCAGGAAAGTCTTGACAGTTAGGCACTGTTGACTAGTGACAGAGATGGAGAATGCTAAGCATTGCATGTACATGAACTTTTTTTCCTGAAAGGGAAATCTGAAATTTTGAGGTTTCCTACTACCGGTCCCTAGGCTTTCTTTTCCTCTCTCCAAACACAGGTGCACACTCTT